TCTCCTCTGTAACCTCTACAGTGTATTGCTTCGACGCTGTACTCCACTCCGTCTGCTGACACCAAGTGGCTGGCAACCCTTCCATGCCATTGCACCTATAATTACTAAAACAACGTGTTTTATTTCTCCCAATGACAGAACCTTCGATTTGCTTCGTTTTAGAGCAAGTGCAACCTTTCTTTATATCAAACGTTCAATCGTTAAAGCTGCTAAAACCACTGGCAGAAATGTTGAAAAGCACAATAGTGCAAAGTAAGTTATTAATACTACTTAATCTTATAGCTATTAATACTACTACTACGTAATAATAGTAGTACCTCGGTTAAAGTGGTGTTTATCTGTTTATCTGTTTATCGACACCTTATAAATAGTGGCGAATTTGGTCATGTGGAGAAATTCTGCTACAAGTGGCGGCCGATCACCCTTTGCAGTGGAGAACGATGTGCAATGGCGGCGGCGGACAAGATACTGTTGATTCGGTACATAAATTAGTCAAGAGTTTTCCATCACGCGAGCACCTTGCGAAGCCAGTCGAGGCCTTCGCACAGCCCGACGTTGTGGACGGCGGAACATGCTTGGATGAACCAGTGGACTTGACAAAGATTCGCCAAGTTCATCTTGTCCATGACCTCGATGGACGTCATGGCGTTGGGGAGGTCGACCTTGTTCACGTACAAGAGCAGCTTGGTGTTCCGCAAGTCGTCCTCTGACAGCATGCGATGCAGCTCCTCCGACGCTTCGTTGATGCGATTGTTGTCGGTGGAGTCGACGACGAAGATGACGGCGTCCGTGTGTTGGTGGTAGTGTCGCCACAGGGGCCGCAGTTTGTCTTGTCCGCCCATGTCCCACGCGGTGAAGTGGATATTCTTGTACTGGAACGTCTCGACGTTCATCCCCACGGTGGGGATCGTGTGCACTGCGTCATGGAGCTTGAGCCTGTACAAGATGGTGGTCTTCCCGGCAGCATCAAGGCCAAGCAAGAGCACCCGCCGCTGTTTCTTCCCTAGATGGTCCATCAACGTCTTCATCGCACCAAACACATTGCCCATATTGGTCGAAATCTCGAATGCAACTGCTGCGACAACCTTGAAGTTGCGAGTATGCGGCCGACTATTTCGACCAAATACAATAGTCCGTCGAAATATTCCAGTCCAAATCGGATGATATATATATTATATCAATACAACATCGACAAATGAAAATATCCAAGTCAAAATAATCCCCCCAATATATGTCGAAATCGATATACCGTACGTATGTACTATATCCAAACAAGCTGTTCCTTTACTATTGTTAGTAGCAGGACACTGCCATCTGTGAGATTCAGCCGAAGAAACTCACTCCCCTTGTGCTTTTCAAAGCCAAGATATGTACTAGTACGTAGTAATTAGTGTAGTGTGTATCTAGTAGTACCAATACAGTAACCAATACCAGTACTAGTATTGTCAAATCGATGTGAAACTGGAGCTTTCAGCAGAATCGAATGTCTTAGGAGAATGGATGATTCAAGAACCGCCTAAGCCAATCAAATCACGTCCTGTCGAGTTTCTGCCAATGCAAACTCTTGATTCAGCCCAATCCCTCCGCATTGGGCAAAACCAAATATATACTAATATGTGTATAGTATAGTTTGTACAAGCTTAAATGAGAGATCAAATGCAATGAATGTTATTTCGCGAAATGACTCACAAGTACCGTTAGATTATTGTCCCGGTGTCTATCTCAGTAATACCACATACAATTGCAGGATACTCCAGTACACACAGTGTTATTACAGTATTGTGCATTGCACCCAAATTTGGACTTGTAACGTACCGGTACTTCAAAGTAAAAAGATACAGTAACTTACAAGTGTTAACCAATTTAGGATTGCCCACCCCTGCCATATAATGCCAACCCTTCCGTCACGTTGATGAAATGCCAATTCAGCGCAGAAGCCGTCGATAATAGTCATTCAAGACACCATTTAAAGTACCCTTGTCGATACCGGCCACATTCCGTGGGATCTGAGGTTGTGTCGAGTGATAAACTCGGTGAATATGGGTATTTCCACAGCTGAAGTAGATACTCTATAAACCCATAACCTTGTGTACTACTCTGGTCCATAATGATGGTCCCATTTGACTTTTCATTGGCGGTATTTTTCTAATATTGCTTGTATTCAAAATCTTATTGGCTCGTTGGAAAGCTGCAAATCACAGCTTTGATTGGCTGTATTTTGACGGCACAAATTCATTTTTTTACCGGAGTTACGTCGGCACG